TAGTCAAATGAAAATGGAGATATGATGGTGACATGTATAAATATTTGAGTTAAAATACTCAAAATAAGTTAAAATAAGTTAATATGAATTATGTTTGTTGACTGTGGAAGAGATGCACGAAAATCTTTTTGTAACCAACTGATAGACTTTCTATAGCATGTAAAGAAGGATGTTGTATTTGTTTTAAATTAAAAATAAAAAAATATTTAAAAAGATAGAAAGAGAAAGAGAGAAAGAAAAAGAGAAAGAAGAAAAGAGAAAGGAAGGAAGGAAGGGAAAAAAGAAAAAAAAGGAAAGTGGAAGAGAGAGAGAGACGAAAGAAAGAAAGAGGGAGAGAGACAAAAAGAAGGAAGGAAGGAAGGAAGGAAGGAAGGAAGGAAGGAAGGAAGGAAGGAAGGAAAAAAAGAAAGAGAACTTATGACCACAATTGAGCCCAAAATTTTGGTTGCTAAGCAAGAGCGTTGTTAAGTGAATTTCACCACATTTTCCAAGTTGGCCATGCTCATGTCACATGACTGCCAAATCACTCCCACCCGGTCACATGACCACCAACCCACGCCCACCCGGTCACATAACCGCCAAGCCACTCCCACAAAACATGCAACACCTACAGAATAGGTTCTAAAAAATTTTGAAACCCACCACTGGGCCAATGGAAATACTATACTCAAAGATGGTATAAATTGAATAGGGTAAAATAGTAAAATATGACTATGATCCCCTGGTTTGTCTTACTAAAGAAGTCAATGTTTTAAAATAAGAATATTTTCCTTCAGATACAGCAGAATTTAGGTTTACCACCGTATTATTCTTAATCGAGGGACATAGTGTAAATCTATAAAGTAATCTATAGTGAAATGGCCAGATCTGAATCCTCCCCATTTATGATTATTATTTAACTATTTCCCCATAGCTTCAGTGCTGTCACATCTATTTCATGTGTGTTGCTATATTGTTCCATATGTCAGGTCAATTGGAAGAATTTAAATTACCTTCTTTTAATAGACGAAGCAATTTTGTTACATATAACACTACAAAATTTGGGACAGCAACAATTGATATCCGTAAGTTCTGCTAAATAATAGGCTTATATGGTGTCTTACAGAAAAGTTCTAATTATGGACATTTAAATGTTATTTTATCTTTGGAGTGTGTCTCTCTGATCCTTGGTCAAAATAAATTGAATCAATTAATATCCATGGATTCCAATTTTTAGATTTAAATAATGATGATTTATCACAATAGCTATAACATTAATAACATCACTGTCATCTGTTTTATTTGGCTTACCCAGAAGGTCTACTTTCTTGGGAATTACAGATAATTCTTTTAAAACATTTTGTCATTTTTGTCATTGTAGAAATTCAGAAGCAAAATAATTAGTTTTATTTAGTGTGTTTCACTTGACAGCCTTCTTCCTACTGGACAATCACTTAAATATGAGCCAGTAGCATGCTGCAGCTGTTAAAAAAGCTAATGCAGTCCTAGGATGTATTAACAGAAGAATACTCAAGATTACATGAAGTATTAGCACTACTTTATAATGTCTTGATACGATCACACTCAGACTATTGCATCCAGTTTTGATCACTACAATATAAAAAAGATGCTGAGAATCTAGAAAGAGTGTAGAGAAGAGCAATGATGATGATTGGGAGACTAGAGGCTAAAACATATGAAAAATGTTTGCAGCAATTGGGTATGTCTAGTTTAATGAAAAGAAAGATTAGGATGAAATTGTGGCAGTGTTCCAATATCTAAGGGGCTGCCACAAAGAAGAGGCGGTTAACTTATTCCCCAAAGCACCTGAAGGCAGAACAAAAAGCAATAGATGGAAACTAATCAAGAAGAAATCCAACTTAGAAATAAGGAGGAATTTCCTGACAGAACAATTAATAAGTGAATCAGCTTGCCTTTGGAAGTTGTTGATGCTACATCACTAGAGGTTTTTAACAAGAGATTATACAACCACTTTGAAATGGTATAGGGTCTCATGCTTGAGCAGGGGGTTGGACTAGAAGTTCTACAAGGTCCCTTCCAATTCTGCTATTCTGTTAATTCAAAAAGGGAACAGATCAAGCAATAGTTACCAAATATAGCTGTATCCAGAGTGATTTTTCAAGAGAGAGCAATGTGTAATCATACAATAATCTCCTCCCAAACTGAAGCATTGACTACTACTGCATCTAGTTTGTTACATCCTATCTTCCGCCAGAAAGAGCATGGTTCAAGTATACAAGAGAGAGTACCCATGCTGGAAAGCAACCAATCCATTTCTTCAGAGACCACTGATCAAAAGAAGTCTCAGATAACATGGTGGGTTACTGCTACTGTCACCACTATGAACTCTGACCATAAGAAACCAGGATCTCAGCAAATCTAAATAATTCATTGGCAGAATGCTGAACAAAATAGTGACAAAAGCCAAAAGGGTGGCCTATTTGTGTTCTCCTTTCTACAATCCTAAATAAAATCACTGGTCAATAGTTTCCTTGTGAAATAAGGGAGGAGTAATGATGTATCACCTTTCATCATCACAGTATAGGCTCAAGCCTGAGCTTGTTATCTGAATTTAGTCAGTCATCTTCTAATGTTGTGAGCTTCAATTTTGTCATCTAATCTCCTGAAAAAAATCAATGAGCACGCTAGGATTGACTCATTGAGATATACTTCAGATAATTTATAAAGCTCAAGTCATGATACGCTGAGACAATCAACAGAATGCATATTCCTTTCTCTACCTTTGGGTTACTGTGGAACCCAAAACCCAGAAGGGCAGATGTCCAAGAGGATGAGAGCATTGCCGTCACCTAGCCAGATTTCAATAATACATTTCAGCTGTCTACTATCTATAATCAAGTCATGAAGAAACTTAGCAATTACAAATAGATCTGGCATTTACTCCAACCAATATGAATCCAAGGCCACCAGTGATCTGAATACTAAGATCTGGAAATAGAGCATGCTTTCCAGACTTACTCAACAGGATTTTCTAGAATACAATGTAACTAATGGTATCTAATACTTTTGAGAAGTCCAAAACAAAGGAAATAGATTGTATTTCTATTGTGCATTCTATTGTATTAACCACCAGAATGCAAGGAAGAAATGACAATGGTTTTATAGATTTTATAGAACTAAAACAAAACTATAGTATTAAACTATAAGGAGCTCATTTACACCATATTAATCACAAGGCAATCATTGAATGTGATAATATATTGTTAAGAATTGAGAATCATTGTTGAGAATGATTGTTACAGATCATTGTTTGATCTTAGAACTGTCACTAGCTTATGAACTATAAACTTATACATTAAAAAAGATTATAAATTACTTCAATCTTGGTTAATGTGTCCCAAAAGTTTCATAATTCATCCAATAGCAGCAATAGTTCTGAAAATTCTTCAAGCATAACTTACCATAAATAAGTCACGTGCACCTAAATCAACTGCTAGCAGAAAGGCCTTTTCAAATCTTTGATGCCTATAGAATGAACAGAAACAAAAATTATTGAAATATATGGTACTCAAAGCCTCCCTGCTCCCATCAAATCTAGACGTGAGTAAGAGACAAGGGAAGGGATATACTCTACACATCGATGATTCCAAATTCACCTCTTTTTTACATTGCAAGTGCAATGTACCATATTTTTTAGAGTATAAGATGCTCCAGAGTGTAAGACACACATTAGTTTTTAGGGAGGAAAACAAGAAAAAAAAAAGTCTGCCTCTGCCTAACAGCATCCATTGGTATTCATCTGACTAGCGTTCTTACAGCAAACAGTAAAAAGCCTGATCAGCTTCAGCACTTTATTGCAGCCTGATTCCGCATGAGCAGCTGACTGGTGGGTGGATCGGCCTCCCGGAAATACCCTCAATCAGCTGTCCAGGCTGCGGGGATTGCCACAGATCATCGCTGCCTCAATGCCTTGTGTTTTTGGCTTTTCTGCCTTGCGTTTTTGGCCTCAGCGTCACATTTTCGGCATCTGTAAGTGGAGGACTACCTGTAAAATGTTCTTTTCCAACATTTATTATTGTATCATTTATCAATCTTAGAAATTATTGATGGAATTATGTACAAGTGTAAAATACTTTGTACCAATTTTATTTCAAGCTGTAATTTGGAGTAAATGTTATGGATTTGATCCATAATTATTTCCATTGCTGTGTATTGATTGTCTTAGAAATTTTGTTTCCATTTTCTCATCCAGCTATTTGTTCTGTTCCTGTATTGTATATAAGTAAGAGTTTATATATGTGCCCTGATAAATGATAATTATTTTGTTTATATATTTCAAATTTTGCCTTTTTAAAAAAATATCTCTTCCTCATTCTTAAGATTAGATTGTATCCTTCCAGCTATGATAGAGTTGTAGCATTCACAAAATATTTCTCGCTGTGCCTTTAATCTATTCCTTGGATGGGAGTGAATCATGTCTGCGTTGGTAATTAAATTTTTCTTACTGTAATTATCTGCAACATGGAAGGCATTTGAAGGAAAAACTAATGTTGGAATTTTTAGGTTTATTATTTTATTTGTAAAATTCCATTTTTTGAAATAAACTTTGTTTGATATTTGTTTTTAAATTTGTATCCTCCTTTGTGTTTTTGTACCACAAATATCTATGAGGTCCATTAATTAGGCTGACTCTTTCCAGTATTGACATTTTGCTATTAGAGAATTTTATTCACTCTGTTATCCATGACAACAAACATGCTTTTTGCTATATCTTAACATTTGGAAAAGCAAGATCATCTCTATCTTTTGAATCTTATAATATTTTTAATTTAATATGGGTCTTTTCCCACTCCATATAAATTTGTTGACAAATTTCCTGTGATTATTGTAAATGTCTCTGAGACTATAATAGAAACCATTTCCAACAAATAATTTATCATGGGTAATGTATTCATTTCAGTAATTGCAACTGATCTTAACTAAGATGGCTTTGTTCTTGTCAGTAGATCATTATTTCATTTTCCATTTACACATACCATATCATTCTCATTTTCTTCTAATACTTTGTTTGTGTATAGGGACATTGCTTAAATTGCTTGTCTTTGATTTTATAAGAGCTACAAATAATTCTTAACTTTTACTGCCTCTTAGTTTCCCAACGTCTTACTATTCAGAAACGTCTGTTTACCTTTTCTCTTTCTATATAGGCACAATCCATCACAATCTTCCAAAATACTCTGCTTTGAAACTGATGTTAATTAAAAATGCTGATAAGAAGTTGTGAACCTGTTGTTTCACATTTCACATTTATTTTGCTCAACCTTTTTAATTCCATTAATAATCAGCTATTATATTTTAATTGTATTTGGCCTTTCATCTGTTCTAGCTTTAACCCTCTGGTGGTTATGTAAACTTAAAAATATTATTGAAAGCTGCATTGAGTAAACTAATCAACATGTCTACACCTAAAAGAGTCCTATAGCAGAGGCAAATAGAGGCAAAAATGAGTTCATACTACTATTATAAATCTCTATTTTGCAGATATGATGGCCCAACAATTTTTAAAAGTGCAGTAGATGAGAACATTTATGAACATATTCTAGAATTCAAGCATTTTACATTCTGATTTAAAGCCATTTGTCACTTTGAAGGTGGGAAATAGAAAATAATATGTGACTCCCCCATCGTCTTCAAAAACACAAACCCTTCAGAATCCAGTGCTGTACAACTTATTCTCTGCAAGTACAACCAGTTTTGAAATGTACATAACTGTTTCTTTATATTCCTCTTCTATTTTACCTAGTTTTGTTTGCAATGTGAATTGCATAGAATACTAGGCTCACATTGCCATATGGCATCAAAATATTTAAACAAAATAAAAACTGTCACTGAAACTGCCTTGACCTAAAAATATTGTAGAATGAAAAAAATGAATATGTTACTGGATGAAATCTTTATTTTTTATTTTTAATAAAAACTTAAGATACGGTGATATCAGAGTCTCTATCTCTAATTTTATAGAACAAACCAGCCTTTTCATTTTGTCTTGGAATCATACTGACGCCAATACATTTTGATTATCTTTACAAAGTGATTAGAAGCTAAAATGTATTCCAAAAAGGATGTCTATTAACAGATTTCAGGATTCTTGTTAAATCTTTTTCCTGAAAGTTATTTTTGATACTAACACCTGAACAAACTCTTAATTAGCTTTTGGGTATAAAGCATAATTTAGGTGCTTCAAAACTACCATCTGCCCCGTAACACCACGAGATACATGTAACATTAATATTCAGGAACCACTCTTAACTGCTTAAGCCAACCATATTTTTACATAGTGATGACATCGACTGACATAATAAAAAACAGTAGTAAAGGATGTTCTTATAAAGAGGTGGAAATTCCTAAGAACGTTACATTTATTAATTTTCTCTTTCAAAATGTTTTTTTAAAATATGTTCTCATCTAGAATATTTAAGGATATTAGCTATCTCAGCAGGGAAGAGAAATGTGCTTTCTAATGGCTAAATCAAATCACCTTTACAAGGGAGCTTTATCGCTGAATGAGGTTTTTTGTCTTTCTACTTTTTCTTTTCTCTTATTAGGGAACTGTCAATTAAGTTATTAAGCTATTGACACTTTTATTCCTTTATACACCATATATTTATTTTTCCTTTAGGAAGAAGACATTGCAGTAATCTTTCACATTCAGTAAATGTAAAAGCCCAGAGATTCACCAGATATAAACTGCTCTGAATTACATAAAAAAGAATCAAGTGATACAAAGCAATACCGTTTCCCTGAAAATAAGACCTCCCTGGATAATAAGCCCAACTGGGCTTTTGAGCACATGCACTAAAATAAGCCCTCCCCTGAAAATAAGCCCTCCCTGAAAATATTGCAACACAGCAGCAGCCATGAGGTGACCACACTCACTGCCTCCTGCACCTCAAAAATAATAAGACCTCCCCGAAAATAAGTCCAAGTGCTTATTTCAGGGGTCCAAAGAAAATAAGACCCTGTCTTATTTTGGGGGAAAGACCCTGTCTTATTTTGGGGGACCCTGTCTTATTTTGGGGGAAACACGGTACATGCTTAGTTTTGTGAATCTTTTGAAAGTTCACAAAGAGTATTTAGAAGTAAAAATTATTATGAAATTAAGTCTAAAAAGACATTGCGTGTGCATTTATATACATTGCCTTTAAGTATTTAATTATGTCTGCATTTTTTCATTCATTGTTTTTCTACTTGAGTAGAAAAGGGACCACATTATAGTAACTAAATAGTTTTCTAGGTTTTGTAATTAGTGGTATTTATTTCATTATTTGAAAATAAAAATATGGCCAGCTTATGACAACCCTAGGTGGCTAGCAAGCAAATATACAAATAATAAAAACATAAGATTAACGTTCTATCAGATCACAACTGTCATAACTTTACCCACTTAAGAAAAATACAAAAATATTCTGGGTTTGCCTTCTATCCTGACCTAAAGCCTAAGGAAGGATTCCTTTGGGACGGCAAGAAGAATAGGGATCTTCTATATCTAAGGAAGCTATATGTTCGCAGGGAAGGTATACTATGGAAAAGGCTCGCTTCCTAGTACCACAGATGTCAACATTAAATATTGTTGAAGTGAGCTACCCCATCCAGCCTAGTAGGATGGGAAGTGTCCTCAGTAGGATGGTTGATCCCAAAATAACTTGGTCCTGTGCCATATAGGGCTTTAAAGGTGAAATCAGCCTTTTGAATTGGACCCATAAAGAAACTGGAAGACAGTACAGCTTGCATATCAATGGTATAACACAGGCCAACCAAGAGGAACCCAAAATTGCCAACTGAAATTTCTGGGTAATCTGCAAGCCCATATAAAGCACATAATGTCATTTAAATAATGACTGTGAAAGATGATTTCACAGGCATTTGTCCTCTGTAATATACTATTATATGGGTTTTATTGTTCTCTGGCATAGGAATATTTAATTAAATAACCTTTTACAATTTATGGCTATTTTAATCTTGTTTATGAACAGTAAGGTTGTAAGCCACTTAGAGTTGCTTGGCGATTAAAATGACAAATAAACCAAGTAAAACAAATATGTGAGATACAAAATCTTAGTATGCTGAAAACAGAGCAAATATATATAGCACCTGAAATTTGTGTGCGTGTGTCTTCTAGAAAATATGTTAAATGCTTTAATAATTTCTTATGGAAATAGTATAAATTCTTTGAAATTGATAAAAGTCAAGATAGTTGTTCACCTGAGCAGATGGTGGAAGAACCTTCGTGCATATCTGCTGATCTGGTCCCTGTATCCCAAAACAGTTGTCTCAGACAAAGGTCGGGTTGGTGCATAAAATGTCCCAAGAGTTGCCTCCAGCTGTGCTGTGGAGTTCAAACACAGCAGCAGTTAAACAAATGGAGTACCTTCCCTTCAAGAAATATGGGCTTATGTCTTCAGACATCCAAGCTTTTCAAATGACCCTACAGCTCGGAAGAATACATTTTTTAAAAAGTGACAGAACAGAAACAAATCTATGTATGAGCAATCATTTCAGGCAGCACCTATGATGATTTGGAGCAATAACAAAAATCTGTCAGGATCTTAGAATAAATGGATCGCTAATTATTTTAATGTGGCAAGAATGATTAATGACTATGGTAAACTTCAAGCAAAGTTTTTCCTACTAATAAGCACTCTCCTTTTTTATCCCTCCCATTCTCACTTAGCTTGTCAGAACTTTTCCGCTGTCCCACGGGTAAAAATCTTTTCCAAGGTTAGCCCCTGAGGGAAGAGACTTGACCTCTGTAGGTATTTCAGCAGCTCTAAAAGAAGCATTGATAACTGTAGGAATCTTTTTTCTGCTTTCAGTATTGGTTGGTAGGCTTCAATAGTTACAAGGTGAGTAATATCTTAATATGTCATGATAATATAGTATCTAACTGCAAACTTCCAGCTTTACTATAATGTGCAATATGGATGTTGCTTCCTTTCTGAAATATTGGAAGTTTTACAATGATAGCTGCTTGCCACCTGCTGTAGGACAGGAAAAAGGGAAACTTTTTTCAGTATGTTCTTTTACCTTCTGCCAAAATATACAAGCTAAATAAAGATAACATTATTATTAGATTTGTTAAGATTGATGAACAATTTTACAAATCATTCACATTTGTGCCTCCAATCTGGGACTCATGACAATTCAGCAATATTATTTGGCAGCAATTCCTTGGCCTTCTTTGGATTATTTTTATCATCATTTCTTTCATAAATTGCCAAGATTTGGGTTTTCAGTAGGTTTCCCATGGAAGATTGCAAGAAGATGAGGCATTTTGCTTTAAGGTATCATTATACTGTTTATGGAACGGAATGAACTTTTCTAGCTTCTTAATCCAAACTTTTTTGAAGCACCAGAACTACAATTACCACTAAGTAGGAATTATATAATGTATGGCGAAGGTCACTGCAGACATGAGTTTCACACAACTTGTATTCTCTGGATATCTATCTAGCTTGAATAAAGGTGAAATGTTGCAGAAGTTTAAACTTAAAGAATATTCTTTCCAATTAATTTTGCCTAGGATTACATTCTTGAATATATTCATCTTTCGGCTATTACTCCCATGCTGTCTTCCCCATTTTTCCTACTATTATTTACAAGTAGATAAATGCAACCACTGATGCACAGCTTTAACAATATTAGTGTTATGCCATGCAAATTACTTTAAATGAATAATGTTTTTTCATTGATTTTAGATATAGGCCTGCCTATGGACAAATAAAAATTTAAATAGCCAAAGACGCTTCAAAGGAAGGCCCATACGTGATCTGTGGAAATACAATTAAGTAATTTAATAAACACCACTGTCATGAAGTTCCTACTTTTCCTTACAAGAAGTTTTACACTTTTGAAATAATCCAGGCTACATGATATTGAATTAAATACTATTGGAATTATAGTTTTATTTTAAAAACTCTAGCTCTCCGAAGATCCTGAAGATAACCTAAATGGTTAAAATAAATTTACATTTAGATTAAACTAAATTTAAATTAAAACAAATGTGGTGTGGTGGAATATGACAGTGAGTATGAGAGAGGAAAGTAAAGAGAAATTTCAGCCTTGAATCATTGCTATGTAGGAAGCTGCCTAGGAGGGATCGTCCCTAATTTCTAAACAGCATTTATCAGATAGTTGTGTGGAGTATGCTTCAGTTTGGCAAAATTTTGTCTATGGGCAAACATGCAATAAAGAAACTGCGTTCAGCTTTAACTTGTATCATTCTTGGTTTCTCATGGTTGACATCTGGTAAACAAATTACCATGACAGATTGGTTAGGTTTCTTCAGACTAAATCTCAAATGGCATAAATTACAGTTCTAATATATTGCATACTGGGAGAAGCATAGAAGCAAGAATTCATTAAAAGCAAAAGGTTCCACATCTTTCCACTTTTCAGTGGAACTTTTCTAGAAAATTTCTAATAAATGTTAATCTTAGGTAAAATTTTATGTCAATGATGTAGAATGTCATGATAAGTGCTTCTTCTTCTATAGCATAACGAGTGTGGGTCTCAGCCTCGTGGCCTTGACACATATTTCAAGAGCAAACAATTTTTCTTAAAAAATGCTGATCACGATGTTCTCTAGCATTTTTCTTTTCTCCAGGGAAGTGCTTGGTGCCCGGTTGTACTTACATGCAGAGACAAGCCGTGAGGCTCTCCTACTTATTACTTTTCTTATCTAAATCCTGGGAAAAGAACTAATGGTACCACAAAAAAGACGAAGAAAATGAAGACATTAAAGTCCTTTTGGAGTTTAGAATTCTAATAGACGAGCACCTACTACAAGACATCCCAGATTAACATTGTTGATAAGTAAAAGTCTGGTTAGTGGACATTGCAATATCCAGAGACAGAAGAATAAGAGAGAATGAACTGGAGAAAATCACAAAATACAAAGACTTGCAAACAGAAGTAGAATAACAGTGGCAAAAGAAAGCAAAGATAGTACCAATAGTGATAGGTACCTTGGATGCAATCCCAAAACATCTGAACTACTTGAACACCATCAGCATTATAAAATCATCATCAATCAATTGCAAAAGGCAGCTTTAACACCATCAAAAAATATCTGCCTATCCCAGACCCTTTGGAAGGACTTGACAGGTAGATAAAAATGCTAAATATGGTCTAACCATTAGCTGACTATGCAATGAACCAATAATAAAATTTATTAGATTTTTATTCCACTTTTTGCCATAAAAGTCAAGGTGTCAGCGTTCTTAATATAATTCTCTTGCCTCCTATTTTCTCCACAACAAGCTTGTGCAGTAGGTTAGGCTGAGAGAATGACTGGCCCAAAGTCATTCAACTGACTTTTATGCCTAAGGGAGGCCCAGAACTCAAAAGTATCCTGGTTTCTAGGTCAGCATCTTCAACCCTACACTATACCAATATATTTACACTGAAAAATTGATTCTGTAAGTGTAACACATTGCTTTTAACATAAAGTTCTAGCATTAACTGAAAGGTAGGAATATTTATCAGACAAGGCCCAACAAACCTTCTCTAACGTGTGTCAGCTTTTGTCGAAGCAGATAGTTTATTATGGCACATAGGCTTACATAACAGTGATGACCAACAGTATTCCAGTTCATTCCATTTAAGATGTTAATTGCCTCATATATCTCATCTTGATGAATATATTCTTGGATGATTTCTACAAGACCAAGCTGTCCTCTTGGAGTAACACCTGCCACAAAAAGTAATATAAAAGTCATTCCAATCAAACCTAATTATGTTTATTTGTTTCACCAAGAATATGTCTGTCTGGTTGTCTGTCTTTCACCCATTGAAATATATAAGGTGTGCACTTTGGGCAGATGCACTAGTAAATAGTATTTGCTTAATGATTCAGGATAGCACTGCTGTATAAGAATATAAAAAATAAACCCCTGGAAGCAATGAATCCAAACTCAATTAATTTTTGCTTGCCTGCTATGAGAATAAAGACAGAAGAAAAATTTCAAGGCTGTATCAATATTAGCAAAATGATTGGAGTGAAAATTACTAAAGTTCAAATGTAGAGCATTCTGCCTGTGGACTGGAAGACTGATCTGACCATTCAATAGATTTTGTTTTTTATCTTATTTGTGATAATTTGAGACAGTACATATTTCATATACAGACACACTTTTGTTATCAAAAAATATTAAATGCACATTAACAAATGCATTTTTACCACATTCATATATTTTATATAGCTGTGAATACATGTTGGGACTATCAGAATTGGAACATTCATGATAGTACTGTTTTCAATTTATAAAAACTCAGTGGAATTCAGCAAGAAAGAAGAGTCTCTACAGGGAAAATAGACAGTTTATGGCCTTTACTGGCCATCCATGATTCCCCTACCTTTGATTTACATTTTCATTGTGTAACATTAAGGAAGTTTAGTCTCTTCTTATTGTTGCCTATCAATACAATCTCTTGTTTTTTAATTTCTGAATATTTGAATTTTAATTACAATCTGGTTCTAATCCAATCTCCACGAAATAAAATATTGATGTTTTTTGCAGAAGATATAAATAACAACAAATAGTAGATTTATTATAAGCCCATTCTCAAACAAATGAAAAAGACATTTTGATATCACTAGATGCAGAAAAAGCTTTTGATATGGTGAAGATTGAATGTCTGGTACAGGTAAAGAAAATTGGATATCCTTTAGAATTTGTTACATATAAAATTTTATTATTTTAATCTCTCTGCTTTGGTGGTTACAAATGGGATTATCTGCTATGTAATCAAAATGTGATGATCTAGTGATAGTTAATTATCTTAATGGATCAGAATGTAAATATAGAGTTATCACATGTAAATCAAATTTTAGATCTTTGAAATGATTCTAAAACTATTTCCAAATATGTGGGAAATGTAAATATAGTACAAATGAACATGGTCATTAGAGTAATAAATATTTTAAGAGAATGCCTATCTTGCTTACACTTAAAAAAAACGAATTAATAGTTAATTACTTATGAAAGAAAGAAACTCCTACCATCTTATTCTTAAATATATAGGTTTCATATAAATATTATGGTGATCTTGAGCCAATCATACTACCATTAAAACTTTTGAAAGATTACAAAATGAATGAAATTTATCCAAAATATCTAAGTACCAATATATTCAGCTAAAACTTTCAATATATATGGGGGAGGATGTTACTAAATGTACAATTTAATGTTACTAAAAATGAAAGAAAATTACAAATATTTGGACAACATAAAATAAATGAAATAAGAGAATTAGAATAGCTTAGTTAGGGAAATCACTATTTTCATATTTTAAAAAGTTGATCAAGTGGTTAAGGTACCAGGTTAGAAAATGGTAGACTGTGAGTTCTAGTCCCACTTTAGCCATGAAAGCCAACTGAGTGATCTGGCCCATCACTCTTTCAGCCCAACTCATCTGACAGAGTTATTGTTGTGGGGGAAATAAAAGAAGGTAGGATACAAATAAAGAAAGAAATAAAATTTCAGATGTGCCTAATTAGTTAAACATTATTTTGAAAGGATATTAGGCACTTCAATGGATGATTTTAAAAAATTGATTTAAATTCTTCTTGGGTTAGAGATGTAATAAAAGTAAAGGTAGATATTTTTTAGTAGCTCCCTATTGGTTAAATATTATTGAAATATCATCAATCAGATATTTGAAAGACACTCAAGAAACAAGTATGTTCATGCATTGTTACATTGTATTATCAAAATTTGAAATGTGTCTATTTAGGAAGAATTTTAGACATACAGAAACAGAACTGTTGCAAAAAATATGGGTTTATTTTTTTTTAAAAAAATGCATTTATACCAAAGATTGGTTCAACAAAATTTGTCAGTTTGCAGTCTTTAATCTGGCTTTGTTTTGCCAAAGAAGCAAGATTGGACATTATGATTTTGAATAGTTTAGGTTTGTGATATTATTATTTTGATATTATACAGTAAAAAACTGGTAAAATGTAAAAATGTTTTTCATTTTTAAATTTTTTATTGAACAGTGTTACTGATTATTTTTCCAATATTTTGGTATTTGGAGGGAGAGTTACCATTCTTACTATTTTTTTACTTTCTTCCTTTCCTTTTGACTTATATTGTTTAGTTGCTAGGGCGTGTGTGTGTATACACACACACACACACATCTACTTCAACAATACTTTAAATGAAATGAAATGTCTTATTTTTGTTTTTAATTGTTTTTCCTTGTATTCTTACAAGTTTTGGCTCAAAAGCTCAATAAAATTATTGTTAAAATTGCCAATAAAAATGTTATATAGCTAGTCTCTCACAAGTATACCACTATGTTGTCCAGATTACTCGCACTTAAGTACACATGTTATTGCAACCTTAGTGGGAGATTCAATTTTTCAAATTTCAAGGCCTTCTTCACATGTTCTGGAAGATAACACTGGTGACATACCACAATTGCTATTAGAAGCTAAACAAGTGGTCTTTCGATAATATTCAGATGTGTTCATGAGAAGATGCACATTGTAACTGGAAGATCTGACTACAATAATACATAGAATAATTTAGTTCTTATTTTTCATAATGCAAAATACCTAAATTCCTACTTCTTTTTCATTCCAATCCTCCTTGTTTTTAATTATTTTTTATTTTTTTCTACTATAAGAAATCATCAGAAAAAGTTTACAGATGTCTAAGGTAGAAGAGAACAACTACAGATAGTCCTTGGCTTTCATTTAGTGACTGTTCAAAGTTATAACATAACTGCAAAAAGTGACATGTTTTTTACACTTATGACAGTTGCAGCATCCCCATGGTCACATGTTCAATATCCAGGGGCTTGGCAACTGGTTCATATTTATGACGGTTGCATGTATCCCTTTTGTGATCTAACAAGCAAAGTCAATGGAGAAGCCAGATTCACTTAACAACTATGTTACTGACTTAACAACTGCAGTGATTCATTTAACAACAGTGGCAAGAAAGGTCATAAAATGGGGCAAAATTCACTTAACAAATGCCTCACTTAGCAACAAAAATTTTGGGCTCAATTGTGGGTGTATGTTGAGGACTACCTGTATTGGCAAATAAAGAAAAGAAGAAATGAGAGTAAGGGAAAAAATACTGGAGTCTTTATGAAGATAGCTGGTATCTCATTTCATTTTATGCAGGAGTGAAATCATGCAATCCAAAAGATCCTTTTTGTGGCTCCTAGATCCATCTACTTTTGTGGCAGAGAGCTAAAATAGTTTGCTTAAAACGTGCAGATGCACAAAGCATCCATTTCACATCTTGGAAATCCTAAAAAATTCTTTCCAAAACGACTTCGGTCCTATTCACTTTTGCAGCTTTCAACATGAGACGCAAACCCTATTTGACCCTCAAACTGACAGAATTTAGTAAGTACATCACTACTTACCAAATGAGCTTTAGAATGGACCAAATCTAAATTACTGACAAACCAAAGCTTGCACCATAAATTGATCCCACTCTCAGAAAACATGGAAAAAGAGCTCACCTCAATGGCTTTTGTGGAGCCCATGGTCTGTCAGACTTCCTAGAATTACATATGTTTTAGCTTTATGGACTTTGTTCTATCTGTCCCCATGAAAATGTTGTTCTATATTTTTCTAATATGTTTAGTGTCATAAAATTGTAAGTTTTAAGTAAATTTTGAGAATGTGTTTTCTAAGACATTACATTCTAATTTTTCTAATAAACTGGATCAGAACAGGACAATAATCCCTAATGCATGTAACCAGATAATTTCTTGTTGGAAATATAACAACAATTTTTTTTAAAAAAATATTGCAGCTTTCAATCACAGAGGTCAACAGCTTCCTTTTTGGGTGTCTAATTTCTTTTGGGTCATGCATTTCCAAGTGACCTACTTTGGTAACAAAGGTGACAGCCAACTCATGGCCTAATTGATTTAGGAACAGTGCCCAGGGAGACAGTCCAATTAAGTTTACAAGCTGGCAATTAGCAGAAAGGCCTCTAAATCCCTGCACTGAGAGCATATTTCTCAGTTAAGAACATAAATGTGCCAGAGATAGGAAAAGTAAAGCTGTGCTTTTTAGAAAATTGTTGTGAGCAGAGTCACATGGGAAAACTAAGAAAAGAAAGGTAGGTATAGCCTGATTGCCTTCTGGTACAGGTAACCAAAATAATTTAACAGCATTTAAAAATATGCAACATTTGAGAATACATCAGCAAACTGTTTTAATTAGCTTTCCAAATAAACATCTATGACTGTTAAAACACTAGACAAGTAGAATAATTTACCTCACAAATTACTGTACAAGCTTTCCTGTTAAACAAGGTAACAAGACAATTTTTAAAGAATATAAAGCTGACATATCCTGAATGGTGTTATTATATTTATATACCTAATTGGTGGGATATAGGTAACCATTAGAGTGGCTTGTGGAGTAGTTTCTACCTACCTATCTATTTGGTCAAATCTGCAACCACACTTGCTTAGAAACTATCCTTTAGCTGCAATATCAATAGTGCTGGATAAAATTCAGAGACCTGTGATTATCAGTGGAATAATTAGGAGAAAGCTGTTTGTCTCTCCAGCTCCAAAATCAACTTGGGAGAATTGCCCATTCCGCAGATTTAGAGCAAGGGGCAAGATGAAGAAGGCCTTCTGCACAACCGTGGATTTAATCTACATTATTTGCTAATTATTTTCATTGGCTGAGACACATGACTTACATAAAATACAAATATTTTAATTACGTATCTCTCTTCGGGTTTCTTCCAATCAACAGATTTCAACAGATTCAGCCCAACCATTCAGTCCAATCATAAACAATATAATGTAATCTTGGATTGTTTTCTTCCAGTTCTTTTACTTTTCTTGCTTAGTTTTGTTGAAAAATAATTTTTTTAAAGAGCAGAAATATTGTATTTATTGATGAAACATCTACAAATTGCATTTGCCATTAACTATCAAATAAACTTACCAGTTTTGAAATGAAGTACTCCAAGAGGTCCTTTGTCAAATCTAAATAATAGAAGATCATGTCTACCCAAAACATCTATGTCCTGAGAAGAATATTGCGGGACAGCCCATTGAATTTGAGTGAGACTGCTGGATATCTCAAACTTTTCACTGAATTGTAGAGTCGACTTTGGTGAGAAATCTTCAGCTAAAAGCTGCATTTTAATTGGAGACAGTGCCATGTCAAATAACTGTAGTTCTCCTTGAGAACTACCAATAAGAATTATGGCAGCACTAGGGTGGCAACACATTAAGGCAGGTAGCAGCTTTGCTTCTGTTGCCAGAGTTACTTGACGATAGGCTTCATACAGAACTACTGAAGAATCTTCACAACCCAGAACTAGCTTGTCCTCTGTAATATTCCTGCAACAGCTGATGGCCTTTGATGTTAATGGTATTTTGGTGATTGCCACACAATGAACTTTATTCCTAACATATTCATAAATGCTGCTGTCAACCATGGGCTTTTGGTCTGCACTCGCAGATTGTTCTACAGTATGAATCTGATGTGGATTGCACATACTAAATCGGACATCAAGTGGATCCCCATCTGTATGAATATAACTCAGAATCTGAAAAATAACCCATATGCAGAATTACAGTGTGTTGAAATAGCATATACTTACAAGTACTGTAAATAAAAAATGCTACAATTCATAACCAAGATAAAAAATTAATTGACAGAAATGGATTTCATTGTACTTGCTAAATCATGTGACATATTAATTGTGTCTCAAAGTTAGTCTGAATATCAGTGTATATAGTTTAGTTTATAGCTTAGTATATAGCTTATAGTGTAAATGGATGTACTGTTTTTTGATTTAAGGTACATATTCTTGTGAGTGTAATTAACTGGAGTATAATTTTTTACTAGTAAAATTAGGTCTGACTTTGTGAAAAATATATATCATAGGGCACTAAAATATAATTATTTTATTTTATAATGCATACATATACTCATCCATCTATGAATGATTTAATTATACTGTTTCTATTTTTAAAAGTTGCAATAAAAAAAGGAGTGTCCCTAGGGAACATTGATTAGTACCTTCTCAGTTATGTTGAACAGATTAAATTATACTGATGCGATATATTTCATAACTTTCCTTTAGGTTCAGCAAATTTAAACATAAATAAATTAAACAAAACAATATTACAACAGTAAATAATTAAAAATATTCATGCTAATAAGTAAGAGTTGAAAATGTGATGTTCTAAAACCCGTCAAAAACTAAGGAATATTTTAATCTGGCACTTAATACTTTAAGAGGCCAGACTCTAAAGGAACCATTTTTAACTACTACCCTCATCTAAATAGGGATATCCAAAAAAGAAACTTAAATCACTAAATCCAAGTAAAAGTAGGTGCTTCTTTAAATAACTAAATAAATAATCCAACTCAGAGGTGTATCAGATCAACAAGAGGTATTGAATCTTTCAAGTATTATTTCACTGGAAGAGTTGAGCAGCTTTCGTGAGATCCCAATTCCATTTGATTCTTCTTCTCTCTGAATTGAGATTCAATTTCTACTGAACCTAAAAAGCTCTGCTAAATATCCCTTCAATTTTTCTTTCTTTACAACTGTCAAGGGATGAACAATTGAAAACAAAGAGAGTGAGGTCAAAGGTATGCATTTATTTTCTGTAACCCACCTTTAAAATCCTTCAATCAAAGATCCTTAAATAAGATTCCTCAAATAAATAAAAATATTAGTAGGAATTACATCTTAACAAAGACATAATTCCTAATAACTCTAGGGAAGTTTTAATTTCTGCCACATTTGGACTTATTTTGATATAGCAATAATTTAAACTGGTCATTATGAGAACTTCCACACCAAATTAGACTTTCCTTCCCTTTTCCCTTTACATTGCATCATTTAGGCAGGGATTTACTTGTTTGCTACAAAATCACTCTAGAGCCTTTTTAGCTAAATAGGTAAAACAAATATCCAATTTAGAGATTTAGAGGATTACCTCTAAGTTGCCATGTTCACATTTCAAGAGTAGCAAGTTGGCTCTCTCTCTTTTGCTAGACACTGGGGACCAAGGCCAAAGTTCATCTTTTGCAGCAGACCACCAGCAAATAATCATATTTTGTACATTATTTATTGTCAAATGACGCTTTATCCTTCTGTTTCCAAGTCCTGGTACATCAATGTAAGATATCTGAGTAAGAAAAAATGCAGGGCAAATGTAAAATTACCAAACAAATACAGTATATGGGATTTATTTTACACACCAAAATAAATATATAAACCCTAAATATTATACCTAAACATTATTTCATACATCAGGTCCACTGATAGCACTGTTTTCAGCATGTCCTATATGTTATCTATCACTCCTCAGTCTTAGGATTTCATTTATAGCAATAACTCAAAATATCATGTCAGAATTGTCTTACATCGGAATAAAGGTAACAATATAGTCTGTTTGGATTTATAATGTGCCAGTCAAATACATTTAGACAATTGTTGTTTTTTCTCCTCAGTTTCAATGTATAAAATATAAAGAACAGAGTCGGTCTTCCCAAAAGTATTAGAAATCTCAATATGAGTGGGAAGTACAGAACTCTTGGCTGTACTGTGTTATGATTGTACTATTACTTAGATGTAAGAAAGTCTTGAGTGCTACATTTGGAGTGCTTCACACTATACTAAGGTGTGTGTGAGCATTTATGTCTATGTTGTGTGGATGGTATAAATATATACTGTATATAGTATAGACATGCATGATTCTATGCAGAAGTATTCACCCTCCTTAGGATGTTCTGAACTTTTCAATATGAATATTATCACAGCTTCATGAGGGTCCAATTGATATATGAAGAGTTTAAGTAAAGCAATACTTACTATTAAAGATTGGTACTTGTTCCATTTATTTAATACTGTAACCTAAATTAACCAACATATAAAGTGCCAGTGCAAAAAAAAAAAAAAAAACCTTTTAGATTCAGTAGCCTAGAGGTCCCCAATCCCTGGTCCCTGATCCAGTATTGGACCATGGCCCATTGAGAACCAGGGCATGCAAGCAGTGGGCAAGTGCATGAGTGTGCAAAGCTCCATTTGTGCAAGTGGAGGATACATTCATGAAACCATGGCCTCTCATCACTGCCACTGCTAGTTCACAGAGCTGGAAAGGTTGAGGACCACTGCAGTAGCATACATAAACTTACCACAAGATCTGCAAGCAAAAGCTTCCTTCAATTGGTTATTAATGTTTTAGCTCACTAGATACAAAAGCTGCAGAGGTGAGTTGCTACCGGTTCAGGCGAACCAGTAGTGGTATTTTGGCCTAGGTCGTCCGAACCGGCAGCAACCCAGGCTGGCCACGCTGTTGCTGGCATCTTTTTTAGCAATTTTTTAATGTTCTGTGCATGCACAGAACAATTTATAGTCAACTGCGCATACGTGCACAGCTCACGTCTGGTGCGTGTGCTATGCAAACAGGCAGCAACATTGACAGCAAACCACCCCTGAAAAGCTGGCCTATTCTTTCATAGGAAACTGCTTCAACAGAGTAGCATTTGAGCATAAAATAGTGGATAATTTCAGGTTCTGCTGCAAATCTATGGAATTTAAGTCTGGATTTTGACTTGGCCATTTTCAGAAACTGAGTTTGTTCTTGAACCATTTGACTTGCTTGTGTTTGGTATAGCTATCTTCTCGCATGATTCACTCAGACTTAAATTCTTACAGAATTCTTTGACACAGAGCAGAACTCATTATATCCTCAAGTGATGGCAACTGATCCAAGTCCAAACCACCATACCCAAACCATGACCCTTTGATGCCTGACAGTTAGTATGTGAAAGGCAGTACTTAACTTCTAATAGTTAAAACTACATATATAACCTGACAAAATCCACTTTTAACTCATCTGTCCTTAAAACATTCGGCTAGAAGCCTGGGGTCATTCAGGTGCTTTTCAATACATTTAAAGAGAAATCATTCTTGTGAGCAAAGGTTAAGTTGCCATTTTCCTGTGAATCGCATTTTACTCTCCCTGCTTTTCTCCTGGTAGAGTCAAGGGGAATGATGCCTGCTGATACACAGATGTTTTTCTGAGGGTATTTTTGTGGTTTCCTCAATTTTATGATGTGCTTTTTAGTGGCATTGATAAGGTAGCCACTTTTGGGAAGATTTACTATTGTCCCAAAACATATTGTAAGATGGTGTCTGTTAGTGATTGGTTAAGACCAGAATGTTTAAAATGGGTTTATATATTTTTTTCAGATTGATAATTATCAGTTGGTTTTTATGAGGCCTTCAGATATATATTTTGTGCCTCTAGGTACCACGAGGTACAAATTTCCCTGTATTGATGGCCAAACTGTGTGTAGAAGGCAAGGCTGTCCCAAATCAATCCTTGTTGTTTACTGAAATATCTCCCAAGTCCTAGTTATTCCTTTAATTGAATTGATTGTAGTGTGCATGGTTTTCACAATTGCACATTGGATGTTGAATTATTTTTTTACAAAATAAATGAAATAAAGGTTAAACTTTAGTATTGTCTGTTTACTCAGATTTCTCTCTCTCTTCTCAGTAGGAATCAAATGACACTCTGATTTACACCAACTGGCAGAGATGTGCAAACCTTCAGAACATCCAAAAGTCCACAAAATATTTTTGTATGGAGTATTTTTTGTGTCCATAACATAGATATAAATGAAAGTCATACAAAATTGTAATACCTCTGAGTATGCAAGAAACCCTATTACACTTTAATAACCAAGAGATTTAGACGTGTGTATGAAGATATACATAAAAGGTACATACATTGACACAAAGTAATTTATACTGGGAGAATGAAAGAATGCTACTGGATGAGATAATGCAAATTTCCCTCTCCTAAGATGTGGGCAAAAAAAATATCCATTCATGAATTGGAGGAATTAAATCATATGCAAATTATGATAAAGTCTTAGGACTGGAAAGAAAAACTACTTAGATTAAACCTTACTTCAGAGGTGTCAAAACTCGCAGCCTGCAGCCCAAATGCGTCATGTGCTGACCACACCTACCATTTTAGCAAAGGGGGGGAGGAAAGTCCCAATATGTCACGTTGTTACGTGATGAAGTGAGTTTGACACCCCTGCCTTAATTGATAATGTAATTTGCTGAATCACCAATTTCCCTTTTTACTAGAAACAAAGGGCACAATGTGATTTGAAGAATACTTCCCATCAAAGAACTCTGGTCAGCACAAGTCTTCCCCTAAAACTGTACTCCATTTAAAAACAAATTCTTCTTTTTACCCAGTTGCTGGTTTTCTCACACCAATTCAAAATTTATTTTCCTCTTCCATTATTCTGCCCCTGCACTCTCCCCCATGTCCTCCTGCTCATCTGTTTATTGCAAACACTTTTGCCTCTTAAGAGGTCTGATCTTTCCACAAATCCCATTATTTATTTGCTTTTCTGAAAAGATCCTTCCTTTTGTTGCTCTTCGGGTTTCTATGTATATGAACCATGACTGTTGTATGTGAAAGCATTTTTCAGAATGGGATTAGAGCAACACAGTAGGAGGAACCTTGAACAGAAAGAATTAGGATTATATGTGTGTGTGTGTACATACACACACACATACACACAAACACACATTCATTCCTAATGGGGAGGGAACCAACTGCCTTTGAATGTGCCAAGTAGTAATTGCATGATGCTTTTTAGAACAAAGAAATAAGGGCTATTTCTTATTGTAGATTATAGGCAGTCCTTACGACTACAATTGAGCCCAAAATTTCTGTTAAGTGAGAAAGTTGATAAGTGAGTTTTGTCCCAATTTCTTGCTACATTGTTAAGTGAATCACTGCAGTTGTTAAATTAGTAAATGGTTGTTAAGTGAATCTGGCTTCCCCATTGACTTTGCTTGTTAGAAGGTCACAAAAGATGATCACATGATCCCAGGACATTGCAACCATCATAAATGAGTCAGTTACCAAATAACTGAATTTTCACCATGGGACCATGGGGATGCTACAACAGTTATAAGTATGAAACAGTCATTAGTTACTTTTTTTCATTGCCGTTGTAACTTTGAACAGTCAGTAAACAAACTGTTGTAAATCAAGGACTACTTGTACTTTTTTTTTTTACTCATCTACATTTTAAAAAGGGATTGTTTCTTTTACTTGGATGAGAAGGAAGAGGGCTGTAAGATAGAGGACAAGCATCTTGTGGTCGAAGACTATACTTCCAAATAACATTTTAATGTTGATCTTACTGAATCACAGGAGGCATGGTGGTGATGCAATGACATCACTAGAGGGAATGACATTCCCTCCCCCCCTTTTCCTTTTGTTATTTTGTATGTTTAAAAGCAAAATAGATATATTAAGCCTAGTGGAATTCTGGGGATAATCTAATTTTAATAGGAAAACATGGATAATTGCATCTCTGAAAATTAGTAATTTGCTACATAATTCTGATGGGCTCTGAGCCCCAAAAAGAGGGACAGGGAAATGAATTTGTTTGCAAGCTGCCCATCCCTATAGTTGAAGGGTTTGGATTATGAAAAATTCTTTAACAATGTTTCTTTTTCTGTGCCTTTGAGAGTAACTACGGGAATTGAACAGTGTAACTTAGTAACAGTCAGCTAGATGTTTAGTCTGAGTTTGGCATTTTTGTCTACCTATCGAATCCCTACCAAGGACCTGGGATAAGCAAATCTAGATGTTTGAGAATGTTACAAATATCGTCACAGGATGGAAGCAGTTCCAAGTAAACCTGCCTTCTGCAATTGACTGATGGCAAATTTGTCAATGCCTATGGTATTCAAGTGGTGCTCCGGTTATTTTGAGACTGCACCCAATGCCCCTATTACTATTAGTTGTTGTTATTGAATAAATAAATGAACATAAAGATAAAAAAAGAATTAGAATGCAGATAGCTGAGAATGAGGTTTCTGGTATCCTTTTCAAAGCTCCTTTAGCTGATAATGTTTTTTCTCCAAACTAGAATAAAGGTGGTTAACCACTATTAAGTTAGTAAAGAATGTTTTCAGGATGTGCTTTTATGAATTTGGAAGGATTAAAATCACTTTAACTAAAGCATGCACACAAATATATATATATATGTGTGTGTGTGTGTGTGTGTGTGTGTGTGTGTGTGTGTGTGTGTGTGTATATGTATTATATATATATATATAATATCTTTGTTTTTCCCC